GGAGACAGCAAAAAAGACAGCAGACTCTCCAGCGCATGCACTTCGTGCCGCAGTAAAACCCTAAACCCTAAACCCTAACCCGTAAACCCCAACCCCGAAGCCCTAAAACCTAAACCCTAAATTGCAACCCCCCAACCCTAAACACTAAACCCTAAACCCCAAACCCAAACTCTAAACCCTAAACCCCAAACACTAAACCCTAAACCCCAAACCCTAAACCCTCGGTTGCTGAACTGCTAGGAGCGTAAGAGGCCCCACTAGCTGGCGAGATTACTATTACTAATAATAAATGTATTTAGGGTTTCTTTATCTGTCCGTGAGCAAAGAATAAAGCCTCCAAGGCTAAACCCTAAACCCTAAACCCTAAACCCTAATGGGCGCGGGAGGACTAAGTCCAGCAGCAACACGCAAGAGCAGCAAAGAGAAGCTAATATATTTTTTGTGTTTTGTTTTGTTTATAATATATAATGAAGACTCTAAAGAAAAAAATGTAGCAAATGTTTAATAAAATATCTTCGTCTCTTCATTCTAGTTAAACCGCCCTCCGTTCTCTCGCTCTCACTTCATCTGAAGTAAGAGCAAGCCAAACATCAGCTGCATCAAATGCTGCTGCTGCTGCAGCTACTGCTGGGGCAGTTGCTGCTGCTGCAGCAGCAGCCTCTCGTGCAGCACCTGCTGGTTGTGCTGCAGCTGCTGGTTCTGCTGCTACAGTAGCAGCAGCAGCAGCTGCTGCTGAAGAGAATGAACAGCAAAGACAAAGAGCGGACAAGGAAAAATGCCAGCGCAAGAACGAGCAGCTGCTGCTGTTGCAGCAGCAGCTGCTGCTGCTGCTGCTACTGTTGCAGCAGCTGCTGCTGCTGTTGTTGCAGCTGCTGCTGAAGCTGCTGCTACTGTTGCAACTGCTGCTGGTGCTGGAACTGTCGCAGCAGCCGCTGCTGCTGCTGTTCCAGCTGCTGCAACCGCTGCTGCTGCTGCCGTTGAAACTGCTGAAGCCGCAGGACTAGCAGCAGCAGCTGCTGCTGGTCCTGCTTAGTCATTGCAGGATAAGACAAGAGAAACAACAAACAAGCGGCAAGAGGAATTCAAGAAGAAATATCAAAGAGCAGCAAACCCGGCGAGTAACACACAAAAAAAAGAAGCCAAACAAAGCAGAGAAAAAACAAAATAAACAACAAAGGACACCTCCTTCCACTTAATCTTTGTTTTTTTCATCTGTTTGTTTGTTTTAATTAATTTGTTTTAATTAATTTATTTTTTTTATATTTTATTTCTGCTGCATTTTCTCTATACACCTCAACAACCCCCTATAACAAGAAGTCCGCAGGTGAAGCCTATGCATTTAAATTGAAGTAAATTAATTTAAATTAATTTAAATGCATTTAAATAGAATTAAACAAAGTAAAATATTATTTTAAAAAGAAATACAGAGATTCTAGATCGCGCTCCGTTAGCGGTCGGGTGTATGGGGAGGTTACAGCTTCTATCTTCCAGTGCATTGTTGTTTGATAGAAATCTTCATCTGCCTTTGCTTGTCTCTTGATTAATTCTACTACAGTATCTATACTCCAGTCATCTTCTTCTCTGGTGTAATCTATTAAAGTTTGTTTAAGAAGAGCAGCAGCAGATCCTTGTCTCTGCAGCACATTTGGTGGGTGTACGACCGCATAATGCGCAGCAAACGGCTGCTGAGAATAAGGGATTGTAAAAGAAGAAACTCGTTCATTATTTGGGAAACCTTTTGAGCATACACCCCGTAAAAATAGGTCAAAATGACGATGAGCAAGATAAATGCTGTTGTTGTAGACAAACATATGCAAAAGAAGAAGAAATAATAGCCAAGCATACACCCTAGGAACCTTGCCTTTTAATTTATCTCCATTGATCCCTTGAATATTAAATTTTGAGACAAATTCATTGAATGTGACGCCTTCTTCATCTTCATCTTCTGCTGCTTTCTCTGCTGCTGCTGCTGCTGCTGCTGCTGCTGCTGCTGTTCCAATTGCAGATTCTCCCTCTGCTGCGGCTTTTATTGCTGCTGCTGCTGCTCTTGCTGCTGCTTCTTTTCTCTTCTTTTCTTTTACTTCTTTTTCTGAAGGTAGCTCAACATCTCTTCGTATACCTAAGAAGGGTACAGGTATACCCGAACGGCTATGCATAGCCTCAAGCCGCTGCAAGAACAATATTTTTTCTGTTGCTGCTCCAAATATCCCGAGCAGCAGCACCGCCGTGAGTACATAATCTCTTAAATCGCTATTCACGTTGTTGTTGCTGCTGCTGCTGCTGCTGTTGTTGTTGCTGTTGCTGGGTACTGGAGGACGAGGGGTCTTTAAAAAGAGCTGCAAATGCTCTCCGAGAAGACGTAAAGGGTTCTTCACTGTCCCTCGACCCTCCTCCCAGGAGAAAGGCACAAAATTATTTACAAATGAGACCTTTACTGTTAAAGAAGCTGACTCCCAAGTGTCTCTCCATCTCGCAGCATTCTCGAGCAGCAAATGCTCGTATGTTGTTATACTTTCTTCATCATAAGGAACCCCTAAGCATAACTTCTCCTTATTAGCTCCAAATTTACCTATAAAATCAGCAACAGCTTCGCTGTGATGCACCTGCTGCATCAGCAGCAGCAGCAACAGCAACAGAAACAACAGCAGATGCTGATGCAGCACCTGGAATAAAGAATTACTCCCGAGCACACGTCTCAACCTAATACCTTTTATAGAAGATGAAGAAGAATATAAATGCTTTAATGATACCTTATTATGCACACAATCAGCAGCAACCTGCTCTTCCTGCTGATGCTGCTGCTGCGCTGCAGCAACGACGCCCTGCATCGTCTCAGGCCTCCTTCCTGCTTCTCAGAAGCAAACAAAAAGAGTTATAAATATAACAACAAGTTTTTAATTGTTTTAATATTATTCTCAAAGAAGAAACAAACAAAAACAATGGCAGCCCTCTCGCCTTAGCTGCTGCTGCTGCTGCAGCGGAGCAGCAATGCGAGCAGCAGACTCCAGGGGGAGCGACAGAGCCCGCAGCAGCATCAAAAGATAGGGTTTTAAATAATTTTTAAGAACAAAATCAAAGAAATATAATTTTAAAAATATATTTAATCAAATTAACAAACAAATTAAACCCCAAAACGATCAAACAAACGAAGAACAAAAAAAAAGAGAAACACATGCTGCTGCTGCCGCCGTAGCCGCAGCAGCAGCAGCAGCCGCAGCAGACGCCTGCTGCTCGTTCTTCTGCTGCTGCTGCTGTCAAAAAAATTGTTTTCTCGTGCATTTATATTTAAAGAAGTCTGTTAATTATTTATTATAAACAATTTACTTAAATAAAATAAATTTTATATCTGTTTATATATTTTCTGCTGCTGTATGCACATCGCTCCCCGTCTCCCCCCCCCCCCC